AGAGAGAGAGAGAGTGTAAGAGAGTGGCCTGTATACAGCTACCGTCTTGAACACCTCCATGCTTGACAACGTCGACGTCTTGTGGCTCCGAGGAGTGGGGACGAGCCTCCCAGGACTTCGAGGCCGCAAAGGAGCTGCTGAAGGCCCTTGGGCACAATTGGAGCCGGGGTGCTTGGGTTTGGCGAGTTTGCATGAAGGGATTATAGGGCTGTCCGCTACCTGGGCTACCTGGGTGTGAGGAGGGTGTTCCCGGTCGGGCTTACGAAGGTCCTGGGTTTCTGTGGAAGCGCAGCTGAGACCATCAGACGAAGTCAGGAAGTCAGCATTGTGGTTTCAACGTCGACCGAGGAGTGGAAGGATCTCGTGAAGTTTTGAGCTGGAATGGCCCCGATATGTTTTTGAAGCTATATGACATACTGTCCCAAGACCATTGTACAGATTCTCGACGCTGCGCGAACAACCGCCCTAACAGCGGGATCACTTATCGGACTGTTCCCGACGGAGCGAGACGCCTGCTTGCAGCAACTGCGTGGATGCGAGGGCAGGGACGAGTCTGTGCTTTTTCCCGGACAAAAGTGTTTGCATCTTTGCGCTTGTTTTGGATCGTGCCATCGGGAGGAGCGGATGCTGCAAATTGCAGTCCTGTATCCGTATAGACCTGGACAGAATCACAGGAGTGACCCTACCGGATGCTCTGAAGGGTTTTTCGGTAGAACTTCACTGGACAGCCTTTTTTCCCGTTAGCACGTCGACTCTGGACCCCCGGCTCAGGGCTCTTGGATCCAACTTGGAGCAGTACATGATTCGGCAACTGGCCCTTGATTCAGCAACTGCGCTTCAGAAACCATGCCCGCCACGATTCAGAAACTGGCCCAGCGGTTCAACGACTGCGCTTCAGCAACTACCTAAAGACGCTCATGGTCTAGTGCGATTTGGGTCCAGAGCACCCAAGTCCAAAACCTAATGACGTCCATGGTCTAGTGCGATTTTGGACCAGGGCATCCATGTCCAAAAACCTAATGACGTCCATGGTCTAGTGCGATTTGGGACCAGAGCATCCATGTCCTAAACCTACTGACGCCCATGGTCTGTGCGATGTGGGAACAGAGCATCCATGTCCAAAAGCCTAATGATGTCCATGGTCTAGTGCGATTTGGGACCGGAGCCTACTGACGTCCATGGTAATGTCCGCCTTTCCAGGCCCTTGCAGATCTTTAGGCCGCTATGCTCGTGGCAACTGTTCCGTAATCCTCGTTTCCGAGTGCTGTGTTTTTGAGTCCGTTTCTGAATCAGCCGATCTGGTTCCTGAATCTGCCGTTCTGGTTTCTGAACCCAGGTGTAGTTTCCGAATCAGTCCGTTGAGTTTCCGAATCAGCCGTTCCACTTGCCGAATCAGCCGTTCCAGTTTCTGAATCCTGACATATCCTGACATTTTGTGTCATGCACCAGCACGGTTCGGTTCGTAGTCTCTTCAAGGCAAAAATCGCAGATTGAAATACCTTGCATTGTCTTCATGCATTCTGGTTGACACGGCGCTTACTAAGTTAACTACTCTTGTGCATGGAGATTGTGCGAATGACCCAGAACAGACGCAAGAGTCCACGCGGAACCACGGGGTGGGCATCAATCGACTTTCAAACTGTAGCAGCAAACCTCGACCCGTTCGCACGAGGGGACCTCCCTGACGGAAATTGGGCAAGAAATTCTGGATGCAAGCAAGTACCTTCGCTCGGTTGCAAGCAGAAGTCTTGTGATGAATGTCAACTAGAAGGCCTTATCAACAAATTGGTGGACTTCGCCCAAAACATGACGGACAGCCCAACATCATCTTGTTGTTGAAATTTTTTTTGCATCTGCTCAGCAACATTGCTGTCGAATGCGGCTCTGACTGGATACGCTTCGATTCATACTGAACGCTGCATGGGCAAGTCCGTTCAGTACTCGTAGCCTTGCCGGCACAGGCTACGAACAACATTCGGTTGCAGCTGATCCCGGACGATCTGGGTGGGTGGGGGACATGTTGATGAGCCTCGCCCGTCTGCAGGAAGTGCAAAACAGCCACAAAGAAGGCTAGGAATTCCAGTAATCAGTAATCCCGGCAAAACGAGATGGTGCAGACACTGGCGCACGACGCCGCGTAGGTTCAAAAAAGAGCGAGCAGAGCGGGAGTCCGAGCTAGAGAAAGCAGCACAGCGAATCATAGCCGAGCTCGGAAAGGATGATGTCCTGATCTCGAGGACTCTGGAACGTGCGCGTATGCTTGATGATAGAAGCCAGTGGGTATCAGGATATCATGGAGTCCTTGTTTTCTAGGCAAGAAGCCGGTCTGAGACATCACAGGCGCTACCGCTGCCATGATATCCAAGCCAAAGCGCAAGGCAGTTGCGGCAGTGCTTGTTTAATCGACCCGGTTTTCCTCAAATATTGCATACTTGAATATGGCAGTCAAGAGCAGAAGCCGAACAAAGTCAAATGTGATGCTGGAGCTGGTGGAGATGGCTGCGCACCGCAGGATGGTGATTGTAAGAGGCGAGCAAGCCTGCTTGTTTGATGACCATGTCTGTGGCTACATTGCGCCATAGACTGAAATGGCTACCTCAACCGCCTTCCATTCCAGACCGTTGCACCTGACTGCGAGCATAGGTCAGTTTATTCCTGGTGTGAAGGTTGGAGGTTCGGAAATTCATTGTGTGATTTGTCACCGACTTGCGCACACGTACGTACACCTTGGCTTCTTGCGACGTCTCATGCCAATCTTGTCACACTCGCAGCTTGACTACTCAAGACATGCCTTGTGCAACGTCCAGCAAAAGGCCGCTAGTGCGTAGGGTCGCCCTGGTCCTAGCCTTGTCTCTTAGCTGTGCGGTTGACCTAAGGCTACTAGACTCCGATCTGGCCTCAAGCTTTGAAATGCTCTGCTTCTGCAGTTGCCTTGCTTGCTGGGTAAACGATTGGTGGCGCCCTGCTTTGCGGCCGAGAGTCAAGTGGATTCCTCTGCTTTTCACACATTGCATTTGGAACCTTTGTGATTAGAATTTCCACGGAGATGTAGCGAATGTGAATAAAGGCCTTTCGGATGTCAGACTCGTCAGGCATCACCCCTCTGAAGGAATGCCTTGAGGGGGGGGGGCGGGGTCACCGGGGGAGGGGCAGGGATTTGATTGAAAATGCCTTGCAGACCCGTCTAAAGCCTTGCCAGGTGGTGTCATGTTTTCAGAGAGAATTGGTGTGTTGACGAGTGGTACGAAACCTACATCCAGAAATCCTAAACCCTGAAACCTTGGACACTTAAACCCAGAAACATCCAGAAACTCAGAACCTCGAAGAGCCCCTGAACCCATAAACCCTGAACCCAGAAACCCTTAACCCCTATATCCCGCAGTAAGCCCAGAATCCCTGAAGGCAGAAACCCTGTCAGGCCCTCCTGACCACAGCTGCATGATGATGAGATGTTGCGTCCGGCATACAGAAACTGACGGTGAATGTGCTGCAGCTGCTTGGGCTTCCAGCTGGACCTGCCTGTTCGCGCCCTCCGTCCAAAGCGAAGAGCAAGAATGGCTCGCACCTCGCTGCTGTCCAAGGCAGGTTCATCGGGAAAGTCGAGAGAGCTTGTACTTGCAGGACACAGTTCCGATCCAGTTCCACCAGTCTGTAACAGGCCCTGCTCGTGGTCGGCGTGGTGTCAGTCTTGCAGCCGCCTGGCACGTGGGGAGTCGGGCTTCTGGAGTTGGCCCTTTTTGTCCCTCTCTCCACACCCTGTTCTAGGCCCAAGCGCAGGTCAACAGATAGCACATCGATGCACGAAAGTCCAGTGTTTGCCCAAGATCGTCATAAGTTCTGATTATAATATGTTCAGCGATTTTCGATGGAGTTTTGGGTTGTGCAGGAGGCATTCCTCCAACAACTTTGCAATTCCTGGCCGACTCACTTGAGGCTGTTCCGCCGAGAGGATGCCTTCGTAACCCCGAAGCTGAGGGGCGAGGCTGCGGCGCAAGTGGTTTTGTTACATTGTGATACTTCTGGCTGAGCCAAATGCAGAGCCGGCACGACAATGCTGCTTGCAGCTGGGGCTGCGGGCAGCCACAATCACAAGGAACACCCATGCCAGACAACAAGATGCAAAGCAGTTAAGCGGATCAAGACGTGATAGTGAAGGCCGCAGCAACGATGGCCGCGGCCCTTCTGGCAGCCAGCGTCGCAGCTCCTGGACCAGCCCAGGTCCGTCAGAATCTCTTTTGTGCTGCAAGCACTTCCGATTCTTGTGCTTTTGGAGATGTGTCGGTGGGCGACTTTCGGGGGTGGCATGTGCAAGCACGGCGTTCCAATCCAGAACCATCGGTTCAGCTGGTGAATTGCAATAATGTGCAACCTTGATGAACGATGTCCTTGAGGAGAGTGACGTGTGAATACATCAAGTGTACTGCACCCACCAGGGCATCTCGCAGACTTCCGGGTTTGCGCACGACTGCCACTTGCAGTTGACGGCTTGCTCCAGTTTACACCACCGACTGTTCGATGGTGGCCCAAACCGGTGCTAGTGTCTCCCCTCACCCGACTTAACGACACGGAGCCCTGCGCTGACTTTGACAAAAACCCCCGCTGAGCCACGAAATGCCACAAAAATAAACGACGACGCCTGATCCAGCCCGATCCAAACGCATCGGAGGCGGAGAGCCCGAAGCTGTCCTTCTTCGGCCTAGGAGGTTCGGCCGGGGTTACGGGAAAAGCCTTGGGACTGTTACTTATGGGGTGTTCATAGGGTTGCATGCACTTGTCATGTCATTGCTGCAACTGGCTACAACGTCATGGTGTGTAACCTTGACATTGCAGGTAGATATGGGTGCAATTTAGTGCTGTAAGCTATTGTCACTCGCGCAATGAACCGGCGACATGGCCCATGCCACCGCTGTGTCTTGAGTAGAAGCATGACATAAAGGCCTCCCACAAGTCGCACGAATCCGACTGTCAGGCGGCGTCTCCGACGTCTACAACCAGAACGACAACCCGATCAACCCGTACTCGCAGTTCAGTAACTTGGCTGTTTCCATACTGTTAGTGCTTTTGCCACTGAGCAGCAAGACAACCTGCAGAGTTTCTTGAAGTGAGCAACCGCGGGAAGAAATATTGCGAAAGCAGAAGCTGGGATGTCCCGGGCCTCGCGACAGGGATGAACCGTGCCCGGAGCAAAGGCGAGGTCGGAGACGAGTCCGTCTACAAGGCCCGCACCGATCAGGAGGCGCCGGTGGACCAGGGGCGCTTCTGCAAGCAAGCCCGTGAAGCCTGCAATGCCACAAACTCGGGACCACTAGGCCTTAAATCCTTGATCCTTCTATCAACTGAGTCAGCTTGTATCCCTAGTTGTGGAGGCTGAGCCGGTTCTGCCATGTTGTCTAGTGAAGCCAGTTGTCTGACCAGTTGACTTCTGCTAAGCTGATCAAGTTTGGGCAGGGCCACCGCATTCTGTCAGCAACGGAGTTGGGAGCAGTGTTCCAGTTGGGTTGAAGGAGTGCGTGCGGATTGTTAAGTGATCCTTCATCCGTCATTCCCGTCCGTGCAGACCTGCGGGAGCCCACTGTCGGCCCAGAATTCCTTCTGCAGGTGGCGCGAAGGAAGAAGGCGCTCGCGAACTCCTTCGAGCGCTTCGACAAGACCGCCGTGCCCTAGCGCTGACTTGGCATGTGCTGTGATATGGGCCGTGCACTCATAGCCCGACCAATGGTTCGGCCGGAATAGGGTTGTTGAGCCAATACTGCATTGATCGAGGTCATTTCATGATCTCCCGCTCGTAGTCTCTTGCATCCTCTTGCTATAGACGTGTATCTTCCTAGACTTATCACTGATCACGTGCTCAGCAATCCTCTGAATCAGACTGTAGATGCTGTTGTCTGCAACTGAGCTTTCGGCCGCATGATGCAGTTTGAGTTGTCATTGTCACACATAAGTTAGCTCCAGCATGATTCACTGCCCCGGTGGGTCGTGCAACAACACGTGGTGGCTCTCTGGTCAAGTCTATGTATGTGTGCATATATCATATATCTGTACATGTTATACTCATGCATACACGAAGACGCGTGCACGACACAAAAGCAGCACGGGAGATGATGGAGAAACAGCATACGGCAGAGCCACAAATCAGAAAGGAAACTTATTGAGTTGGTGCTCTCGCTCGCAAAGTATCATCACATTGGTTTACTGTTGGAGTGCAGGGAGCAAAGGATCTCAAAGCACAACCATATTGAGTACTCTCGAAGATTTCAAACAGCGTGACGAAGTGGATGATTGTCCCGGGTGAAACGGCTTTAACGCGAGCCCGACAGAAGTAAACTGCCCCGAATGTAGAAACCCTTCAACAGAAACAAAGTGCAACAAACCTAATGCCCGAATCACTTTGGCCTGCAAGGCGGATTCGTCAATTCGTCGTAGGCAGTTACTAAGTCGGGCAACCCTGCAACGCGTTGAACCAGTTGCCCATTCTGGCTGAGCTGAAATCGCTCTGCTGCAAGACCCTCAAGCCGCTCAAGCCTCAACACCAAAATTGTCTGCTACGATGCAAGCCAGCCATGCTTGAGCCAAAAACAAACAAACATACACACACACACACAACGCCTCGACCGCACCTGTGAACTTGTGAAGCAGCATTAGCTGGTGGGAGTAGTGATAGTTGAGAGTCCAAAACCATAACCAACTGGACCCTACGAGCCTCCTCGGATCCCGCAATCCAACCACCAATCGAAGCAAGCATTTGGCCAGTTTTACATCAAGACGAAGCAGTCGCAGCAGCTGACCTCCAACCTCCAGGAGGCTGCTGGCTTCAAGCAGGACCGGGCTCATCTCGCAAAACCGGGTTTTCGGGCTCCGAGATGCTGGGGCAGATGGGGCAGGGCCACAATGCCACATAGATGCAGGGTTGAGACAGCATTCCAGCTGTAAAGGCCTCAGGCAGTTTTAGTACGCGATCTAGCGATTTAGGCCATTGCTGTTCGAGGGGCTTGATGTTTGTGGAGCAAAAAATTACGATTCAATATAGCTGTAAACTGTAAGCGGCTTTACAGCATCACAGGGCACAGTGTTCTCGAAGCAGCTTCAGGGTATGACTTGCGTCTTCAGTGCTCGAGCTCAGGTGTGTGTAAGCCGTTTTGTTGCACCAC